TTTTAGAATTTTTAGAATTTTTAGAATTTTTCATTTTTTTAATTGTACATTACAGAATTTTATCACTGACTTGGTAATGAAAATTTATAACGTAGGAAATAGTTTCCTAAATATAAAGTAGGAAATATTTGGAATATTCAAGTGGAAAATTAGGTTCTTCGAACACGATTACCGTGAGAGCTTTAATTCTTCGTTCTAATCAACGATGCAACAAGAAACTACGATGAGAACATCGTTGCTTCTGATGACAACTAAAATTTCACGCAAACATAAGCAGGTAATCTATCATCAGCGTCGAATTTTCGTTGGGAAATAAAGCGAAGCAACGTTGAAAAGGAGCAATTTGTCGACGTTCGGAAGATTAATCGTTCAGTCGAGATTTTTCCATTTCCCTGAAGTTCAACGTGTTGTATATTGCAGGCATTTTGCGTCGAATCGAAGTAAAATTCGAGGATCTGGGAGGATATTAAAAGCAGCAACGTCCACGTAACATTCAGGAGGCGATTTCCGTCGCAAGATTTTTTCCACCGATTCACCAGAAAAAATTCGAATTCCCCAAACGTCTCCGCGGTCTTCGTCTCGGAACGTTTGATTGTCATATTTTATAAACACAGCGGCCCACATATGATTGTTGTTCGAGCTGAACGATTATTCAGCGACGGCCCTGGCTACACCGCGAGTCCCGCGATTTTTCATATCGTCGCTTCGATCTAGAGAAATAATAGAAAGGGATCCACCGTGAAAGCACAAATAAACTTGATTCCACGTGTACTCGTGATCGTAACGCAGAATCGATGCTAGCTCGTTTTTCTCGGGGGGTTAGTTGCTGACGAATATCTCAAAAATCAGAGAAATCGTTTAGGTTGCTTTTTAATTTCTTAATTGCTGATAAATCTCACTTGAGTATCTCGAGAATTAGAAAAATCGTTCAGACTGCTTTTTCATTTCTTCGAGAAATTATATTCGAATTCATGAAAATAATGAATGCTGTATTTTTACTAGGTTGGTCGAAATAGTTTGTAATTCCAGTGTTGGACAAATTTCTGAAGTAACAGAGCGACATGGTATGTTTAAAAATATTTGTCAACGAGTCCCAGCGTCCATTCGCCTAAATTAGCCTTTGGTCGGACAGTTTTTGATGGAAATTCTCGTGCCGCGCACTTTGGCGCGAGAATCATGGTAATCGCTATGTTTGCGTGGATTCTCGCGTTAAAAATTATGATCGTGCTGTTTATCCGAGACGACCTTGGTTTCCGAGCATTCAGAAATCGTAAGGTAGAACTTTAAGCGACGTTGATTTTTCAGAATGCAAAACATGCCAATACATTTTCTACAACAGTAGAAAATATACATTTTTGTTTAGCTGGACTGAACCAGTTAACGCAACGTTTCCGATGTAAAAATAAAGATACGTATTATTGAAAATCAACTGCTTCGTGATACTCAAATGTCTGATACATTCTTCTGATTTTCGGTCAATGAAAATAAATACAGGATGGTCCGTGAGTCGCTTTACCATTTCAAAATTCGACAACTTCCTTTCAAGGATGTATTTGCAAATTTTCATTTTCCAAACGAAACTTTATTATTATTATTATTATTAAAGTTACTTTTATCGTACAAACAAATATTTCTTTCACATTTTCAAACAGAAACGAATCGAGCAATCTTAATTACTTCTGTTTCGTCGTATAAGAAAATACCTGCAAGTAGTTGAGCAACAAAAAGTTGATTCAATTTTTAAACGGTAAAGTAACACGCAACGCGATGTTCGTAAATGAGCGTTCAGTTTTAACGAGCGTACACATACGCCTTCCGCAAATTAACGAGCATTTTTACACAGCGCGCGTACACGCGGTTCGCAGCGAAAGGGTTAAATTCAGAAGTACCTCTCTCCATTCGACGGCTCAGCCAAACAGCCGGCCCAACAGACTTTTCCATCGTGGACTCACCGAGATAACCATAATCCATACTTTTCCGACGCGCCGTATATTACACTAAAATCTATTAAAACCCTTTTTCACTCGGCCTAATCCGAGAGCCATTAGCATAGGCGTTGCTAAAAATACCCTCTACACAGCTATCCACTCTCAGAAAGTTAAACATCCGTGGAGCACCTTAGATCCAATTCGTCACGTCCTTCGGCCTTCCCAATCGATTCTCCTCTTTCTTTTTTATCCTCCCGTTTGCCCCGAGGCTTGTCCCGCGATTCTACGCGTCTTAATGTAACCCGATAAACGTCAGGCCGTTATTCATCCACGTTGAAAATAAAAAAAAGGATTCCCCTCTTCGGTCTCCCTGGTGTTGTCTCGTTGCGTAAGAGACAACGAAATTCTCCGGTCACTTTTCTGTCGGTGTATAACTGGTGAAATGGAAAAATACAAATCGATTTCGCGTTAAATCAACGAGCATTAAAACGGACAACTTAGGCCACGTCGCGCTTATTCCGACACGTACCACGCTCGTCCTCGTCGTCGTCGTCGTCTCGTCTTTTTTACCCCGTCTTCGTCTCGAAATATTTCGGTTTCGTGAGATGGAATTCAGGGAATTGCATCGCGACCACATTAACGCGCCTATGCATTTATTTACGAATCGTGGCGAAACAAAAAAAAAAAGAAAAAACGGGGGAAATGGGGAGAAAAGAGGAAGGAAGAGGAGACGTTTAACCTGAATATTTCGCTGGCAGCTGACACGTAGAGACGAAGGGAAAAATGCGACTGGTCGGAAGGAACATCGTCGTTGTCGACTTATAATTAACCGAGAGTGTTGATATTCTCCCGGGGGTAATTAATGTGCCTCGCGGATCGTTGGAATTGTGACGAAAGAATTAGTTGTTCGGGAACGTGGTGTTTGGGGAAAGTTAGATTTATGATCATAATTGTTTGAATGGATGTTTCACTTGTTCGAGGTGTGGATTGAATTTGGTTTTTTAGGAACGGAGGAAGATAATTTTGTTGTGTGCAAAGCTTGTGAAATTTAATTTTGAGAAAAGTTAAATAGATAATTATAAATTTGGCTAGATTGTTAGAAGTGTGAATTGAATTCATTTTTCAAAAACGATGGAAGGTAATTTTTGTGGTTTGCATAACACGTGATAATAAGTTCAATAGCAGTATATTTTATAACAATAACTATAAACACACGTAAAAAGGAATAATGATAATCTGATCAACGGTCTCTTATCACATCTCGCAATATATTCTCTACGATCCGCTCGTTTTCCAAATCTCGAGACGATTTGACAAACACACTACATTCACGCCATCACTCGACGCACTCTCTCATATCAATAACAACGCGGTTCTACTGTTTTACTCCCTGTTTCTCTTTACGATCCGCTCGTTTTCCAAATCTCGAGACGATTCGACAAACACACTACATTCACGCCATCACTCGCAACATATTATTAAACCAATTCCACAGTTTTGTTGCATATAAATTTGGAGGGAATTTCATTCCGAGAAAATTAAAATTGATAATTGTAAATGTGAATAGATGTTTCACTTATTAGAAGTGTAAACTGAATTTATTTTTCAAGAACGAAGGATGATAATTTCGTTGTATGTAAATCTGGTACAAATTTGATTTTTTAGAAATACCTACAACCATTGAAGAGTCCTGAAAATGCCGGTTTGGTGGACGCAGGGACAGTGGACGAAATCTTTTATCAGGTAGTGTATTTCCCATCCTTTCTCGGTGTGAAAAATAAATAATCGAATGATTTTTTCTTCTCAAAATGAAAAAATATATAATTGAAACTTAACGTAGAAAAATAAATTAGATTCGCACGATAAATTTTGGCACTCTTAAGCCAATAATTGCATGAAATCCCGCGTAGAGCGGCAAGAATTGCAATAAAATTATATAAAACAAAGAAGAATTTTGGTATTAAAGTATGCGAAACACGTTCCATTGGAGAAAAATCGGTAGAATAAGAGTTACCAAGCGCAATATTCGCGCGTCTGATCATACACGCACCTTTCTACTTGCCATAAATTCCGTGAAATCCAGAAGCAGAGGAATTCGCGCGAGCACAAACAGCACGCGATAAAAGAGGCTAAATGAAAGTGAAATCTGTTCGCGTGAATTTCTTTAAACGCGGTTTATTCGATCGATGTTTGGCTACCGCGGCTTTCCAATTAATTTGTTCAATCGACGAGACGAACGTGTACTTTCTCGCCGTTGACTCTGAACCTTTGTCACGAACGGAACAATCGTTAATTAATTCTTGATCGTTGCAACTTCGCAACACAAAAGGAACTAATACCACACTAAATATAACGGCACACTTCGGACAGATAATTATTATAAATTATAACGAGTAAAACGTGTAATTACTAGGCCTGCGAGCATAATCATATACTCCTAATTACCCGATAATACACGTTTATTACCATTCCATTATTGTTCAAACGACAGCCATAATTTATAACGATCGAAAGCTTCGTTAAGTTCGTATGTCGAAGGTTTCACCGGGTCTCTGCTTTTCTATGCTCGAACTTTAACATTTCGCGTAACGTGGTATTTGCGACGTTTTCGTTGACAATTTTTGCGAGAAACGCATTTTTGCTCGAATGTTGCGCTTTTTTCTGGACGAAGAAACTTTTCGGTGGATCGGCTTAGTTAGCGTTTGTAGCACTTTTTGCTACGCAAAGCTCGGAGTGCGAGAGGAAAAATTGGGTCGTTTAAAATTGGAAAATTGGACGAAAGAAAATATTCGCGTATTTCAGATTCCCTCGATTCTCAATCATCACGAGGTGTTTCTGGAGGAGCTGCGTAAAAGGCTGGACACTTGGGAACTTAAGCAGACCATTGGCGATGTCTTTCTCGATGTGGTAAGTTTTTACACCGAATATTTCGTATTTCTATTCTAACAAATTTCTTGAATTATTTTAGGCAGTATTTTTGACAGTTATTCGGGTAAAATGATTTATTGGAGTTGGTGCGTAACGAAATTCTCGTTTCTGTTTAATTCAAATAATTGGCGAACTTTGAGTTCCTGTGACATTTCTCGAGCCGTTAGTGAACCTCAGATTCCACGAAATGTCGCAGAACTTTTGGATCTAATTAACTGTTTACCCGACTGCGTCCGTCATTTTCGAAATTTTTTAATGTCACTTCTGACGGTATTCGTTTTGCTGTTTCTGCTGCACTGTCTACCTTTGAATTTATAAAAACTACTGTGAATCCATAAAAAGAACATAATCGCTTCTATCAAATAAATTTTCTGATTTTTTCCTGAAGGCTGAAAAACGATTGTCTTCTGCCGCCGTAAACAAAGGAACATTTGCACTGCACGCGATCATAAATTTAATATGCATCAAACCAACGTTTCCTCAGTTTCGATTACATCACACGTCTATTTGCGATTTTTTTTACAGTTCACCAAGCCAGTCGTCCTGGAGACGTACACCCTTTTCCTTGATAATTGGAAGTCCGCGAGGAAGGCGATAAAAACGACTTGCCAAGCGAAACCGGCTTTCGCGCGATTCCTCGAGGTATACAGCGTCAATTCTCTTTCATTTCCCTTGTCTCAATTAACGTTCTTATTCCCCGTACTATTCGCCAGTAGCTTCGACTCAATTTTATTACATTTTACGCTTTTATACCTTCGTAAATTTCTCGAAAACCTAAAATAACACTATCTTGCTTAATTTCGATTCCATTTGCGAGCTTTCCGATTAAAGACTACAAAAGAAAAATCAACAGAGTCCAAAAAATATAAAAATGAGCTTAATATTTTCACTGGAAAAGATGCAAAAGTATCTGATTTTTACCGTTTCGAAGTTTATTTTCTTTCCTCTGGAAAATTTCAATTTTTCGGACTCTGTCGGGTTTTCCGCGACACTCTCTTCGATTGAAGTCGCCGTTGCCGAAAATTTGTAATCGATCAATTCGACATGCCTCGATTACTCCTTTTCTGTGCGACAGACAATGGAACGGGAGCACAAAGGGAAACTCGGGCTTGATCAGTTATTGATCAAACCGGTGCAAAAGATACCTCGTTACGAGCTGCTGATCCAGAGGCTGCTCAAGCACACCGATTCCACGCATCCAGATTTCGAGTTGCTGCAAGCTGCTCAGAAGGAGGTGCACGAACTCGTCGTGAAGATCAACTGCACGGAAAGGGAGTCTCTCGAGTGGGAACAACAGCAAACTACGTTGAGGGAGGTTCAGGCGCTCGTCGAAGGACTTGCTGGAATCGTGACGAACGATAGGTGAGTCTATTCCCATTTCTGACGTATAATCATAATAACGCCGTTTAAAAAAAAAAGTGAGGGAGACAGGGAAAATGTGCGATAGAGTACGTTCGTTAAAAAGGGACGCAACTTTTACGGTGGAAAATTGTTAACCATTGTAGAACATGAAAAGATTATGAAAATTTCAAATTACCTTGAGCAATGCGAAAGATAGAAAATCGTAAAGTTACGAAGAACTATTATAGTTTTCTTGACACTTTTCTACGAGATATCTGTAATTAGAGAAAAAACACTTTGCTATTAAAAAATTTGTAATTAGAGAAAATGAAAATTCTTTCGAGCAATACAAAAAAATATAAAATCGTAAAATTACGAAGAAATAGAGTTTCCTCGACATTTCTTTATTAAGTATTTATTTCAAAAAAGTGGATCTACCTGCAGAATCTCGATGAAGAATAAAACCATCTTACTCTAACATTTTCACTCGTTTATTCAAATATCTTTAACGTACAAAGGTCTAAGCTCGCGCAAGTTGGACGTTTCCTGTCGAGCACAGTCTAAACAAAAAATCGAGAATATTCTTACAAGTACTGATAAAAAACTGTAATTCCTTTCTTCGCGTCCATTTGATAAAATTGCATTTTTCATGGCGCGGAAGAAAATGACGAGGGAAAATGTAGAAAGGAGTTGAACGTACAATAGAGGCTTCGCCGAGTAGCTGCGCGTAAAACGTTGCACTCGCTTCTTCATTTCATCAACTATTCAGCCTTTAAGCGTGCACGCCGTATCGATTCCCAATACCGATGCGTGCCACGGTGGAAATTGCTAGGAAAACAAAAAGATTCATCTGAATTGACGCATCTATTTTTGCTGTAGAGCATTCGTACGCCACGATTTGGTCACCATAGCCTCGAATCAAGGGACAAGGAAGGAACGAGCACTATTTCTGTTCTCGGATCTGCTTGTTATCACCAGCATTAAGAGGAGAAGCGGAACCATTAGAAAACCATCGACGTGAGTTTACAATGTAGTTGATTAAAATTCCAACAAAATTTTCTACCTTCGTAAATTACTAAATTTAACGATAATTTATATTGCATTCACTTGTAGCAGTGTCACTGATACCATGAAAGTGTATCTAGAAAATTCGATATACTGGGCGGCGCAGAGAAATACAGCCATAAACGTAAAATACAGTTTTAGTTATTTTTCGTACAGAGATAAAAGTTCTCATAAATTGTTGAAATGAAAGCCTTCTTAACTTGGAAATACTGTTTATTTATCGTATAAAATCGAAGGTTTCGTGTGTGTTACCTGGTATTATCACATATTCTGTCTCAAGATACACACTTTTCCTACATATTTGCAATGTTTCGTGATTTTTGATATTTACGTTAATTGTCTGTCGATAGTTCCTGTCCAAATAGTCTGGTTAGCCTACTGGAAGCGAATAAGTACAAAATGTTAATGAGAATACCACTGGACGACCTAGAAGTTATGAAAGGTATCGGTCGAAGAGACATTTCCAATCTCGTTGGCACAAAAATCAAACGCAAAATAATTCTACGTCGCTAACTATACGTTCTCGTTGTTCACAGCCAAAGATGAGAACTTGAGGCGAATGGCTCGTGAGGTGGACCATCTTCGCGAAGACTGCGCGACGTTGACGCAGCTTCAGGAACTGGCGTCAACGTTGCACAGCGCGAAGCAACAATTGGAGGATCTTATCAAGGATATGCTCGGACAGGCGCAACGTCAATTAGCCGAAAGGAACGCGGCGCATTCGCAGCTAGCCTGTCTAGAGCTGACGCTTAATACTCAGTAAGTAACACCGCGAGATTCTATCTCCGCCTTTTTGTCGACGATACGTCGACAATCCCTGGAATCGTTCGAAACGTTTCTACGCTGGGTACCTCTGTCCACGTCTCTCCTCTCGATTCACGGAACGGTTCCTGTTAAACCAGCCACGCCGTTTCCCATTCCATTACGTCACTTTCCACACGGTATCGGCCAGTCCTCGATTGTCATCCGACCAACAAACGACGTCGCCCGGTGAATTGTACGCGTTCGAAAGGACAACGAAAGCCATCCCCCTTTGAAAATCTGCACGGTGACGACTTGAACGCCAACAGCCCGTCCTATTAGCTCGCTCACAAAGCCACCACCCCTCCTGAGCTCTCACAATGCGCGTATTTCTGCACTTTGTCCTGCCTACATCACGTTCCAAGCCCACGTGCTCTACACAGCTCAGAGTGTTTCCTCGCGGTTGCCCGAACGAGCAACGTGACTTCCAGCCACCTTCCAATAACGCCAGTTTCGTTTATTTTCAGGGCCGGTATCGAGAACATTTCCGTAATGTTCACGAAGCCTGACAAAAGGGCCAGCTGGGAGGAGAGCTTCAACGAGGCGAAGCAGAAGTTAGGTGAGTTTAGAGACGTGTCTGATCTCCATTTCGAATGGAACACGTACACACTTCAACTATAGTCTGACGACCTTCGTATACGATGTGTGTCTCGACTTACAGCGTTGTCCGCTGATAGGAGGCCCTGCCCAGAATTCGCGGGACCTTTGCCTATACGAAACACCCGGGCTGGTATGCAGTTCACCTGTGCCGCGCCTACCTTGGCCAACGGACAATGCTCGAGCGAAGTTTGGGTGTGCAACAGCGACGGCTACGTGGGCCAGGTTTGCGTGCTGAGTCTGACACCTGAACCACCGCAGGTGCCGTCTTGCAACGTGGTTTGCAACGCGAGGATCCTCTGCGTCGCTGGAATCCCGGCTTGCACCCAGAGGTGAGCTTCGTGTTCCGTGTGCTTTTGCGTGTGTCTCTACTATTCGTGAAGGTTCGGGGCGTGAGTTCTGTTGTGCAAGTTGGGCTCTGGCTTCTCGCGATTAGGGTTTTCATTGCGATTCCTGTTGCTCGAAGCTTCTCTTAGTGTGAGCTGGTTGTGGGATTTTTGGGACGGTGTTTTCTTTTTCTTTTTTTTTTCTTTTTGGTTTTGTTGGTGTTGAATGGTTTAAATTGAACGTTGTAACAAAGGGATGCGTTTTTGTGGATTTTCTGATGATACTGGTGAATATTGAATTAATGATCTTTGAAAGCTTCAAGCAGCATATTGAGAGCAGTTTATTTGACGAGGTCCTTGAAAGAAAAGAACGGTTGAGATATGATAACAGAAAATTCCAAGGTTTTTACTATTAAGGAATAATTGTTTTTCTTTTTATTTTTTTTATTTTTTTTTTTTGATACTTTGTAGGATAGTAGAAAGGGACCTTACTTTATTTGTATTATATTTTAGATCGAATTCGTGCGTGACTAACAACATTTCATTCGCGAACAGTAAGAGCGGCATAAGCATCTCGGTCCAGGATGTCGATGCCAGTGGCGGGAACATACAGTTAGATAGGTAATACTCTTGAATGAAAGTTTGAATCGGAACGAATATAGTGTTGTATAACGAGGAGTCAACTCGTGATAATATATGCATATATTAGTGATTACAACAGTACTAAAACCTCACATTGAAATTGTCTCGAATTCTTTCATGTTTCATCTACTATGTGTCAAAAATGAAGCTTCTAACCAGGAATTCCGTTACTTGTTACATTTCCATCATGATTTCGACATGGTTAACAATTATCGGTTGATTTCTTGTTATAGAATATCTTGCTATACAAAAATCCTTTTATGTTGTTTTGTGTTTGAAAAAAGACCCATTTAAAACAAAAAAAAAAAAGAAACGCGATTTTCACTTGCTAGAAATAGGCTCTCCTTTCTATTGAATTCGTGCTACCAAAAATGTATCGGTTAAAGCTAAATAACTCTTTGAAATTGTTCTTTTTCAGTTAACTCTTTCGTGATCGATATAGGAGTAAAAGTTGATCTCAATTTAATATCTGTTACAGACAACGTGATTGGTAGATAAATAACAAATTAAAAAAGAAGATAATTAGATCACGAAAAGGGTTAATAGACATTTTGGAGCATCGGTTCAACGAAACGTGTTTACATGGCCTGTTTTTAGACGAACACCTTGTACAGAATTTGGCATTTCACACCATCTCGTTTGACACGTTTCACCATTAATCTAAGAAAGCCGTTTTGCAGTAGCTCGAGCTCCGAAGACTCGGACTCGGACGACATTCCATGTGCAGATACGGGTAGCCTGACTTTGACCGGTAACGTTCCAAGTATTGATAACGTTACAACGGAGGAGGATGTTAATCAGCCAACCATGTGGCTGGGAACCGAAGATGGCTGCATACACGTTTGCAATTGCAACGACAATATCAGGATAAAGAAGAACAAAGTGAAGATACAGCACAATAGCAGCGTGCATTGCATTATGTAAGATGTCAAGCTTTTATTAAACAATTAAATAATACAACAGTTGCATGTATTCACCATATTTTTGTACTCTATCGCGATTTTTGGTAACTTCGAGGTATTTGGAATTTCAGATATTTGGACAATAAGGTGTTCGTATCACTTGCTAATGGAGACGTTACAGTTTACACTCGAGATCACAGTAAGTTTCTCGTACATATCTATTCTACTCTAGGAAATACGAGCTCTGTAAATTCTGTAAAAATATTACACACATTTCTGTGGAGCAGAAAAATTCTTTGGTATAGGAACAACACTGTAGATAAAATATTCGCAATATTCACCGTGAATACAAGAAAGCTATATTGTCTAATTATAGTGGGTGGTTGGAACACACCGGAGCCAACAACTGTATCAGTGGGCACAGTGGCTTTCCCAGTCACGAAGATGCTTCCGGTGTCCGGGAAAATCTGGTGCGGTCACAATTCCGTGAAGATCCTCAATACCCACACTTTGGACATAGAACACACGTTCCCTGTTAGCAACGACACGTCTCTGTCGGTTTCCTGCATGGCGAGTTCCGGTGGACACGGTGTTTGGATTTCTTTGCACAACAGCGCTGTGCTGCGACTGTTTCACTCCGACAGTTACGAATGTTTGACAGACATCAATATAGCACCGGCTGTCACCAAAATGCTTACCAGTAAGTCTCTACGTATCTCGGTATCACGTGTCGTACAGTTAGAAAGTTCTTGATTATACTCCAACTTTCTTGGTCACAGTTTTGGCAAGGAAAGATGTACCGTTCGTTTGTTGCCTTAATTTTAGAGAGATCAAAAGTTGAATATACCTGAAGATTGTAAAAAGTCTGGGAGTTTAATTGTGACCTGCATTTGAGAATTTGATATTCGGTCGTGAAATAAGAAATCTTACCTGAGGTGAAAGATAGTTAAATTAGGGAACGACAGATTCCTCGTGATCGCTTCCCTAATCCACTTCACGAGTAGACTGACCGTTGTTCTTCATTTCGGCTAGAGAGTAATCATCCTGTCCGCCAAATCGTGGGTCTGTTCGAGTATAGGCAGAGAGTGTGATCAATTTAAAATACATACCGAAGAAAAATATAATTTTCGACGAAAAATACAATTGTTAAATTTCGTCGAAATTAATTTACCGAATTTTGCAATATTTCTGACATCGCGAAACGCGTTTAAATTATATTTATTTTCAGGGATATCCTAGAAGAATAATACCTTTTTTTATTATCTCACCTAGGTGTATGCGTAGTCTCTTAACACTAACAGCTTTCAAACACACACGATTCATCTCGTATAGATACTAAATTCCACGAAGCTTTGCGCACTCGGATCTCTCCTCCTGCACATGGTATTTATTTTAACGGAAGCTTTAAACTTGCTGCAGGTTGCGATGACATAATACGACAGCACAAGGCCGCCTGTCTCAGGGTCACCGCACTTTTGGCTTGCAACGAGTTGCTTTGGATCGGCACGAGCGCTGGTGTACTATTGACCGTGCCAATTCCCCATATAAAGCCATCCACTCAGAGGATGTCACAACCGCCGATCGTAACTGGTACGTATTGACGTCACGTTCGATCGTCTATAATCGTTGGCTTATTGCTCCCGATATAATTAGACGCTGGCCACCGAACGGACCCGTGGCTTTTCACGCGGGGTGTCCGTTTTGACGCGGTCGAGATACACGCTCGATCGATCATTTGCGAAATTTTTGGATCGTAGAACGAGATATAACGTGTCCACGCGCCGGTATTTATAAGACACTTGTAAACCGAGAACAGATAAATCTTGGTAAGCGGAGCTTTCGATGACGATAGAGTGAACGAGCTCTGTTATGATTTAATTAAAGTTGGACCAATTACGAAAGAACTGCAGTTTTGCAGAGAAATTGAGCTTCGTCGTTTTCATCTCTGAGAATGAAGATTTTTCAGGAAACTTCCTTAGAAATCAGAAATTTAATTTTTTTTTATATTTTAGTCTTATAGATATATGCT